ACATTCCATACACCATTTCAAACGCTGATTTTCCTATATCTGCTCGGGGTCTGGTTCTGAGATTTAATAGTGCCATAGGTAGGCATTTAATCCATGATAATTTGGTTTCTATCATTAGTTTAGTCAAAATAGTTTTAATTTCTCCATTCATCCTTTCAACTTTTCCTGAACTTTGTGGATGCCATGGTGTATGGTATTCCCACTTGATACCCAAGCTTTCTGTTAGATCTCTAACAATTTTTGACACAAAATGTGTTCCTCTGTCCGAGTCGATTACTTCAGGTACTCCATATCGAGGTATAACATGTTCAAGTAACACTTTAGTGACTTGGTTAGCGGTTGCCCTGGAGGTAGGAAAAGCCTCAACATAATGTGTTAAGTGATCCACCATTACTAATAAATATTTGTAACGCCCTACCCTAGGTAGTTCAGTAAAATCTACTTGTATATGTGAGAAAGGTCTGTATGCTGGGGAACGTCCCCCAAGAGGTCTCTGTTTTATGTTTTTTCGATTAACCTTTTGACAGGTCTCGCAGGCTGCCGTGACTGTCTTTGCTATATTATATACGCCTATACAGGCATACTGTCGATTGAAATGATCAACTAATGCCTGAGTTCCCCAGTGTGTTTTGCTGTGTATTTTTGAAAATATTTCAATTGCTATGCCCTTTGGCAAGACTTCTCTCCCATCTGGCAATATGTATTTCCCATCCTGTTCCTTAGCTCCCATTTGTTCTAGTTTTTCTTTTTCTGCAGACTCAAAACTCAAATTTTTACTAACAGGTACTTGTTGCATAGTCAGAATTATATTATAATTGCCTGCCACTCGTTTTGCTTCTGTATCAGCTGCATTATTTCCCCTAACTTGATAACTTGTACCTTGCTGGTGTCCCTTTATATGTACAACTGCTATTTTATTTGGCATTTTCAATGCCCCCAGAACTCGCCGAATTAATTCCTGGTGTACCAGCTCTTTTCCCTGTGAGTTAATAAATCCTCTTTCCTCCCATATTTTCCCAAAAGTGTGTACTACTCCAAACGCATAACGTGAGTCTGTATATATAGTTCCATCCTTTCCCTTCAGTGACACTAATGCTTTCCACAATGCATACAGCTCGCAGGCTTGTGCCGACCAGCTGGCACTCAGGGGGCCTGATTCTCTTATCTTAAATTCTCCTTTTTCCCACTTAATGATGGCATATCCAGACAATCGTTTACCTTCCACTATTCGTGATGACCCATCTATAAATAATACTTCTCCACATTGTAGTTCTTCTTCTTCTAAGTCTGACCTAATGCGTGTTTGTTGTTCAATTGTTTGAAAACAATTGTTCAATAGTTCATTACCTTCTCCTGGGTACAAAAATTCAGTGGGGTTAACTGCTCCAATCGTTTTTAAAGATAGTTTAGGGGATTCTATAAGTATTCCCTCATACTTTAGTAATCGGCTATCTGTAAGCCATTTTTCTGCTTTTTGTTGTAGCACTCCCCTGATGTTATGAGGCGCATATAAGATAACTTCTCCATTAAAAGTAATGCGATTTGTTTCCTCAAGTAATAGGGCAGCAGGAACAATGATTTGTAAACAGCTCGGCCAACCCCTGCTCACAGGGTCTAACAGCTTTGATAGGTATGCCACCGGTTTCTTTTGTCCAGCCCATTCCTGAGTTAACACTCCGAATGCCGTTCCTTCGTGTATGTTAACAAATAAATGGAATGGCCGTTTTAAATCTGGGAGACTTAAAACTGGTGCTTGACTTAGCTCCCTTTTGAGGCTGGAAAACCGCTCTTGATCCTGAGGAGTCCACTTGGGTATTTTGCCTTTAGGCAATTGTTCATATAAGAATTTAACTTTAAAGCTGTAGTTCTCTATCCATTGCCTACAATACCCAAATAGTCCTAATGCCTGCCGAATTTGCCTCTTAGTGACAGGCATAGGTAATTCCAGAATTCCTTTAATGCGCTCTGGATCTAATATCTTCTGGCCGTTAAACAGATAATGTCCCAGATATTTCACTTTTTCCTCCACAAATTGTAACTTTTCTTGTGATACCCGTAGTCCCTTTTGTGCAAGAAAGTTTAGGAGTCGAATGGTTTCTTTCTTTACATTCTCCTTATTATTCCCCGCTATGGGCAGATCATCTACATATTGTAACAGCACATTCCCCGTTTGTACCTGATATTCTGTTAAGAGTTCTTCTAGGGCCTGTCCAAACAGATTAGGGGATTCAGTGAACCCTTGGGGGAGCACGGTCCATCTTAATTGCTGTCTCCGGCCTGTCTCTATGTCTTCCCATTCAAAAGCAAAATAATTACGGCATTCTTCTGCCAGCGGACAGGCCCAAAAGGCATCCTTTAAATCAATCACACTATACCAGGAATTATGTGGTCCTAGTTTGCTTAGCAATGTATATGGATTTGCTACTACAGGGAACCGAGTGATAGTTCTTTTGTTTATTTCCCTTAAATCATGTATGAGCCGATATTTCCCATTAGGTTTTTTTACAGGCAAAATGGGGGTGTTAAAAGGTGACATACAAGGCTCTAAGATTCCTTGTGCCAACAATCGATCAATTTCTGGCTTCAATCCTCTCCGTCCTTCTAAGGATATGGGATATTGCCTTACCCTCACAGGTACGTGGGGTTCGGGAATTTGGATTTTAATCGGTGGCATTTCCAGTCTACTAATTGTGTCTGGAGAGTACCAAACATTGGGCTTAATTTGTTTTTGATCATCCACAGTCAAAGGATAAGCAGATACTGCCAACTCTTGATTTTTTACTTTAATTTCTAATTGCAGTTCAACAATTAAATCTCGTCCTAACAGATTAAATTCTGCTTCAGGGACGAGCAAGAGTTCACCCATTCCAAATTTATTTTCAGTTTCGAATACTACATTTTTGATTTTTCTCACCTTAAAGGGTTCCCCTTTTGCCCCAATTACTTGTACCTTTTCAGGGGAAACTTTATATCCCTCAGGTATTTGCTTAATAGTTGATTTCTCAGCCCCAATGTCTACCAAAAAGGTGAACTCTTGTTTATGGGGACCTATTTTTAATTTTATCAAGGGCTCACGGTGGCTCCAGTCCCCTAAAATATAGAGCCCCTGACTTTCCTATTCCGTTTTCAAATTTTCCTCGTCCCTGATCCTTTCTCTGCAATTCTTCTTTATATGTCCCTTCTTTCCACAGTAAAAACAAGATCTCTGTTCCTTTTCTATTACTACCTTTCCTTGTTTCATCCTAGCAGATCTGTGTTCACCAGTTCGCCCTTTGCGATCCTCTCTGACCGCTGCTACCATCATTCTTACTTGTCGCTTGCTGCTCTCTTCTTCCCGCCTTACGTAGACTTTCTGAGCTTCCCTCACTAATTCATCCAACCCTCTATTCTGCCAGTTCTCTAACTTTTCAATCTTCTTTCTGATATCTTCCCATGATTTTGCCACAAACTGAGTTTTGAGGAGCGCTTGTCCTAAAGGATCGTTTGGGTTTACCCCAGAGTATAGCTGAAGGGCTTTCCTCAGTCGTTCCAGCCATTCAGTAGGGCTCTCATCTTTCTTTTGCATTTCATTAAATGCTTTATTGATATTCTGCCCATGGGGTACTGCTTCCCTAATTCCCTGAATTACTATAGTTCTCAGGTCCTGCATATGAGTTCTATGAGCCGGATCCTGATTATTCCAATTAGGTCTTTGGAGTGGCCATTTAATATCTGCTTGAGGTCCCTGGGCATGCTGAGCATCCCACAGTCTCATTCCTGCTCGTCTAATCATATCTCTTTCCTCGGTAGTAAATAATTGACCAAGGATAGATTGCATCTCATCCCAAGTATAAAGGTTTGGTCCCAAAAATTGATCTAGTCTTTCTGCTACTCCGAATGGGTCCTCAATTAAGTTTCCCATCTCGGTTCTTTTAAAATCTCGTAAGTCGGCAGAATTTAAGGGTACAGAAATATATCCAACCACAGGTTGAGGTCCTCCCATAGGTACTTCCCTTAGGGGGTACATCTGAGCTGCCCCTCTTTGACTTCTAGTTACACGTCTAGGAGGGGGTGGGGACCCTTGTTCTGATTCTGGTGGGGGAGTGGGCGCTCTGGGGATCTCTGGAGGGGCTGCGGGAACAGGAGGAGGAATGTAAGGAGGGAGGGTTAGAAGGGTTTCGTCTAACTCTTCCTTCTTTTTCTGGGGCTTAGTTTTTGTTTCTTTTAATGAATAAAGTCTAGCCCCCGGCCTTTCTAGCCACACTTCCGCATACAGACTCTCCTCTGGGTTAAAGGATTTTTTATTATTAACCCAGAGGTTTAATTGCTGTCTTACCCAATCTTCTTCTGACCCATAGACTGGCCAAATGACATTCTTAGAAATCTTCTTCCCTCCCCATATCTTAGCACAATATTCTATCATTTTTTGCTTATCTTTCCCTAGGGTTCCAGGGAAATACTTCCAATTATCTAAGATATATGCCAGAGGGGTATTCTTAGGTACAGAGGGTACCCCCCCCATGGGAGCCGAAGGCTTGCTGCCTTTCGCCCCCATCTTCTGGAATATCCACAAACACACACTCACTCGCTCCTCTTGTTCCTGGCCCAGTCCCTCGCGGGAGATGGAAAACGCAGTACTTAAGAGTCCACACTTGCTTGGTTCAGTATATCGAACCTCTCATCCGTTATATTCCAGGAAACCCAATCCTGCCCGAACGGCAAACCCGCGAACAATTTCGCCGCGAACAGTTTTGCTCTGCGAATAATTTCGCAATATACTTACGCGTCCTGCGTCTTCGTCCGGACTCCCGTGCACAGAATTTTTATGGGATTTTACCGGTTTTTTCCTTTGTTCATTATCCTAGATTTTAGGTTCGTCGGTAAGGTTGAGGAAAGCTGTTGATCACGGGGCCGCGAAAATATCGCGGGGCGCCTTTCCCCGGAGGATCAAAAGCCCACCCTTCCTTATCCGAGTCACGGCACCAGAAATTGTTATAAATTTGTGCCACAACGGAACATAATCCAATTAAGAATTTTATTAATTTACAGCAAGTAGGATATGGACAAAGGTAACAGCGCTGGGGAGCAAACCCAAAAACTTCCAAAAACCCGAAGCTCTGGCTGCTCCGACGATTCGCTCAAAACTGTCTCCTTTTATTCCTATTTCTTCTTTTGTCTCCCTGGAATTTGCAAGCCAATTCCTGCCGTTATCTTGTGTTTGTTTAAGCAGTCCCCTAGTGTGAATGGTTGTCGTGATCTTTATCTTCAGTCTCTGGTTGAAGTGCTTGTTATCTTATCTTGTATCAGCTGTGTCCGTTTGCTGTTTGCATACCTCCGTGGTCTAACCTTATCTCAATAGACAATACCTCAGTCTGTATTTTTCTCACAGTTGTCTAACTTTTACATATATCTTAATAAACAATATCCCAATCTGTAGTTTCTCACAATTGTCTAACCTTTACATATATCTTAATAAACAATATCCCAATCTGTAGTTTCTCACATGGTGATCTCTAATCGTCTTTGTTATATTTCATGTGGTGTTCTCTAATTGTCCTCCTGAATTTAACGTGGTGTTCTCTAATCGTCCTCCTGAAATTAACAAAGTGCACTCTAATTGTCCTCAATAATTTTAACATGATGTTCTCTAATTGTGCTCCTTAAATTAACATGGTGTTTTTTAATTGTCCTCCTGAAATTTAACATGGTGTTCTCTAATTGTGCTCCTGAAATTAACATGCTGTTCCCTAATTGTCCTCATTAATTTAGCATGGTGTTCTCTAATTGTCCTCCTGAAATTAACATTGTGTTCTCTAATTGTCCGCATTAATTTTAACATGATGTTCTCTAATTGTCCTCCTTAAATTAACATGGGGGTTGGTCCCCGCAGGCTCAGGTGGCCCCAGCAGACGCAGCCTGGCGGATCAGTTCTCCACAGCGCTGCAGCAAGACAGCCAGCCCCGGCGACACGGGAAAGGCCGTGACTTCCAGAGCCGGCGGAGTTGATCTTGCACATTCTGGAGTCGGGAGGAGGGAATGGCCTGCACAGCTAAATTGATGTAATGAGTTTGAAGGGCCAGGCATGAGATGGCAGGGCTGGCGTCATACGCCATGTCCTGAAGGGCTGCGAGAGAGAGGAACAGAGCCACCGTCAGAGCCTGCGTCTGCAGAAACATGGGGACACCCTCCTGCCACGTCCATGCCAGGCAGCTCTTGCCATGGCCTGGAGGAAGCAGGAGACAAGAAGGGCGAGCTGGAAGGTGCTGGCCACGAATCTGCCACAGGCCCCCGAAAGGTCTGTGTGCTCAGCCCACGCTGCCCTTGGTGCACGCCGGGCCAGGGAAGGCAGCTGCCAGCGGCAGCCCCCGCTGAGAGCCCGCTGGCCTCACTCACCCCTGCAGAGGATCCGGAACTCTTGCTGCTGTCCTCTCAGGCAGCGCCCGGCGATCCCTTGGGAACAGAGAGCGTGAGCTGGCTGGAGAGCCACAGCTGCTGCACACGGGCGCTGCCAGCCCTGAGGCCACACGGCCTCCTGGCCCGGCAGGGCTCAGCCCGGGCCCCTGCCGCATCCTGCCGCCCAAGGGCACGGCTGCCAGAGGGCGGTGGCAGCGCCGAGGCCAGGCGGGGCTCCAGATGGCCGCGCTGGGATGCTGCTGCCGGGGCAGCAGGCGGGGCTGGGGCCGAGCTGCGGCGGGGCGGGGAAGGAGCCGGGCTGCTGGCTCACCCATGAACCTGACGGCCGCCTCTCGCAGGGGCTCCTGTGGGCTCTGCAGGTAGGGCAGGGCCCGGCGCAGGTGCTCGGCCGCTCGGCTCCTGTCCTCTGCCAGCTGGAGAGAGCAGCAGGCACAAAGGGAAGGGTTGGTGTGGGCCCTGCCCCTCGGCCGGGCGCTCCCTAGGCCGGGTGCCGCTCCCCCTGCCCACACAGCCCCGAGGCCCGGCCAGCAGCCGCAGGCGCCGGGCTCCGCAGGGAGCAGAGGGCCCGGCGAGCCGCGGTGCCGCCCCGCGGCAGAGCCCGGCTGCCTCGGGGCTCCCTCAGCGCCGGGCTTGGGGCCAGAGGAGCCTGGAGCAGAGCCCGGGTGGCCCCGGGAAGGCAGCGGCGTGTGGGGCGCCGGCCGGTGCCCCTGCGTGCAGCACTGGGCAGGGGCTGCAGCTGCCAGCCCCACAGACTGGGCACCGTGGGCAGGCGGCTTCTCCAGGCTGGGGCTGGGGCTTCTGGGCTGTCCTTACCAAGCGCTCAGCAAAGCTCCACATCTGATCTGTGTTCACCAGGTGCTGAAGATCCCTTCTCTTCAGGAACCTTACTGCAGAAAGCAGCGTTTCCCGAGAGGCCTGCAGAGCGGCAGAGAGCCGGAGATGGCACCGCAGCCCAGGGCACAGGAGCCGCGTCCCTGTGCCAAGGCCAGGAGGGAGCTGGAGCCCATGAGGAGGAGCCAGGCTGTGGGGAGACAGCTGAGCCCCCTGCCATGGGGACCCCGGCGCCCAGGAGCCCTCACCTGTGCCACACCCCAGTTCTCATCGTGGCAGTTGAAGAAGAGTGGGAGCAGGCTCTGCCTCACATGCTTCTTCAGGGGCTTTTTTCCCTTGGCCACCACCAAGTTCATCACCTCTTGGAAGAGGCGAACGGAGAGCAGCTTCACAAGGCTGTTGTCCTGTTGGAAAGGAAGCAGAACCCCTCCACATCAGCTGCTTCAGGCCCCCCTGTGAACAGGCCCAAGGCACCGGGCTTCCAGGCGGCGCCCGGTGCCCATGGCTGGGGGCAAAGAGCTTTACATTGTCGAAGAGTTGCCAGAGCGCCTCAGCCAGCTGCAGGGCGATGGGGCTGGCTATTGCTATCTCTTTGTTGAAGAGCAGAGAGCTGAGAACAACGAGGGTCATCTCAACAATGTCTTCATCCACGGCCCGCAGGAGGTTGCCAAGGCTTTCAGTCAGGCTGTACATTCTTTGGTTCTGTGTGGAAAACAAGGCTGGGCAACCCGACGCTGCTGCTGCTGCTGCTGCAGGGCTCAGAGGCCGAAGGCCTGTCCCAGAGCACTCAGGCAGCTGAACAGTGACCCTGGAGAGCTGGGAGCAGCTGCCACAGCTCCCAAAGCCCAGCCAAGCCCAAGGGGCTGCTTTCCCCAGCCCCACGCTGCCAGCACAGCTTCAGCTGCTGCCTCCTTCTCACCATCGAGGGGTCCTGGCTGAGCACCACGAGGCCTCTGAGCGCCACGCGACGCATCTCTCTGGACCGTCTCTTCAGGTGCCTTGTCATGATCTGCAGGACCTTTTCACCGCATTCACTCAAGTCCAGGCAGTCCAGGACCTGAAAGGCACAGAGCAGTGACAGGAGTGCCCAGCTGGCAGGAGCTCAGAACCGCACAGGGCTGAGCCAAGGCAGCAGCACAGGGCACCATCCCAGGCAGCTGCGGCTACCAGAGGGCAGAGGCGTGGGAGGCAGCTGAGCGAGGCAGCGCTGGCCATCGGGCTCACCTCCACCAGGAACGTCAGGGCGGGCAGTTCCCAGTCTGAAATGTCTTGGCTGAGTAGGTCAAAGAGGCAGGATGCGATCATGCAGCGCCAGATGATGGAGACACGGCGCATCTCCCTGGGGGGGAGAAAAAGGCACCATTGCTCCTGAGCTGAGTGGCCAAACCTCTCCCAGGGCTGACTCACAGAGGTCTGGTCTTCTCCCGAGCACTCCCGAGCACGGGTGCTTTGGGAGGCAGCTGCTCCAGGGCACCCTCCTCTCCCAGCCTTTTCAAATCTGCTCATCCCTCCCTTGGGGACAAGGCCCTGCCGCCCATGAGCACGGGGACTGCGTGGGGTGATCTGGGCACAAAGGAGAGGGGCGGTGGGGAGAATGAGGTCTCACCTGGCCAGCAGACCCACTGCATAGTGGTGGGTGTGGGCACAGAGCAGCATGTTCCAGGCACACCTGCGTTCCATTGCTACCACCACGTCATCGTACTGCATTTGGCAGAGCAGGGCCTTCAGGGTCTGCAGTGCAAAGCTGTGTGCAGAGCAAAGCCCAGGTCACGCTGGGAGGCCCGGCTCCTGCCCTGGGAGCATGGCAGGGATGGGGAGGCTGGGAAGACTGGGATGGAGCACCTGTTGGGGTGGGCAGCAAGGTCGTGTTGCTCCTGGCATCTCTTCCAGAAGGTATCCACCTCTTCTGGCATATCCAGCGTGCTGATGTAAGCTTGGAAGAGCAGACGCAGAAGGAGTTTGGGGAAATATACCTGCACTACAGGTGGGCACCAGGTCAGATTGAAGACCCTCCACATTGTTACTGTTGCCTGCAAGAAATGAAACACCCAGAGACAGCAATCAGTGCCAAGACATGCATGTGGCATGGCCCCGGCCTGCGAGGGAGAGGCCAAGGGAGACACAGGGGGAGCAGCCGGCCTGGTGGCCCAGAACCTTGCCCCCAAGCCAGGTTTCAGCCCAGTGCCTGAGGCAGGGAGATGCAGCTGGGGGCACGGCAGAGAGCTAGCTGCTGGAGAGGTGGCCTGGGGGCTGGCAAAGGCAGCTTCCAGAAACTCACAGCCAGGGCAAAGACCCCTGTGCTGTCCCCATCGGAGGTGTACACGCTGTCCTCTGGCCAGGCACTCAGCACATCGAGGAGGATCTGCAGCGCCGGCTCGGCGGTCCTGCTCGAGGACATGATGGTCCCCCACATGGTCACGGCAGCTCTGTGGGGCCAGAGCTCTGTGTCAGGGCGGGTCTCAGCCACAGCAGCGTGGCCTGGGCAGCTGCAGGGGCCCGCGCTGGCCCTCAGGCCGGCCTCTGACTCCTGCCCCTGGCTGGCAGCAGCCAGCCAGCCCACGTGGGTCCAGGCCCTGAGGGGCAGGGAGGGAGCATGGCAGCAGGCTCTGGAGTTGACATGCCAGGACTGGAAAACAGAGGGGCCAGAGGCTCCTGGAACTCTCCACCTGTCTGGCAGGGACAGGCTCTACGGGGTGGGGGGACAGGTGAAGCCTAAGGCCTCAAGGCAGGTGGGGATGCCATGCCTGTCACACGATGGGGCCCAGCGCAAGAGAGTGATCAGCACGTCAGAGGGGTATTCCTTGGTCAGCTCCAGAAGGGCCTTGTCCAGCCTGTGCTCAGCAGACTCGTTGGCCGTGAGCCACCGGTGGATGTACCTCACCATGGCTGGCACCTACAGAAGGCACAGGGAGACTTGGAGAACTGCCAGAGCAGCAACTTGCCCAGCTTGCCCTGAGAAGTGCTTCCCTTTCCACCACATTGGGCTGGGCCTCAAAGGCTGAGGGAGCCCAGCACACCCAGCATGATGTGCCACAGCAGTCCTGGGGCAATCAAGCCCTTGCCCCAGACTGCTTACTTGCTTTGCATTGGAGACACCCTTCTCCACCAGCAAATCCAGCATGGCAGCACTGGTCTCGGCACTGAAGAGGTGAAAGCTTGCCAAGATCCCGGTGCCCACACCTGTGCTCTCTTCCTGCCAAATGCACGTGATGAATTGACGGATGGTCTGCAGGAGAAGGGCAGGAAGAGAGGGAGAATGCATGGAGTGCTCCAACCACTCGGTGCTGGGCTGAGCAGTGCCAGCAGGCCCAGCCCAGGTGGGGATGGCCGCAGGTACCTGCGCTGTTCTGCGGAAGCGGCCACGGGCGGGTTCCTGTTCTTGTGTCCGCTCCAGGGCTGCATCTGGTAAAGAGCGAGCGCGGCCAGAGCTGCTGAGGGGCTGCAGGAGAGGGGGGAGAACACAGCCCAGCCCTGTTCTTGCCCGGCAGGGAGAGCCTCATGATGCCCCAGGGATGGAGCATGGCTGCCACGTGGTCCAGCCCCAGCCCAGCTTCTGTCCTATCCATGGGCATGTCCGATGGGATGGGATGGGATGGGATGGGATGGGATGGGATGGGATGGGATGGGATGGGATGGGATGGGATGGGATGGGATGCGATGGGATGCGATGGGATGCGATGGGATGTGATGGGATGGGATGGGATGCGATGGGATGGGATGCGATGGGATGCGATGGGATGCGATGGGATGCGATGGGATGCGATGGGATGGGATGGGATGGGATGCGATGGGATGCAATGGGATGGGATGCAATGGGATGCAATGGGATGCAATGGGATGCAATGGGATGGGATGTGGCCAAGCTGGCTTCAGCCACTAGCCATGCAGCCCAGCAACCCAGCTCTGCCACTCACCCTCCTGCAGCTGCTTGAATGGCACCACCTCTTCAGTCTCATGCCCTGGGGCAGCTCCAGGGCCTTTGTCCTCTTCCTCCACCCCGGCCAGCTTGGGCACTCTTAGGGGTTTCTGCTCCATGTCAGTTACTGGATCTATAGCTACTTGCAGGAGAGATGCCTCGGAAAAGCTCCGAGTCAGCAAGTCCTGCTTTCGTGCCTGCAAGGCACCTTCAAGAGAGAAGCCTGAGGAAGGCTACAGGACAGCAAGTCCTTCTCTCTGGTCTCGAGGGCTCCTGCCACAAGGACAGGAGACTCCTGTCAAGGATTGTGCTCTTGCCTCAAGGGCACTGGTGGCAGGGATGGGAGATGCCTCCAGGGCACCAAGTCCCTCGCTCTGCCCTCGAGGGCACCTGCAGAAGACAAGCCTCAGGAAGGCCACAGGTCAGCAAGTCCTGTGGTCTGGCCTTGAGGTCAGCTGCAGGAGTAACGCCTCAGAAATCTCTGGGTCAGACACGAACGAGTGCGCTGTGCGAGGACTCCTCACAGCACTGCTCTGTCCCGTCCTGTCCTGTCGCGTGCTCGGAGCACTGTGGCATGGTCCTGTCACTGTCAGCTCCTATGTCACCACGTGTCACAAAGGGCCCTTGGACACACTGTTCCATGCCATGGTGACCATGCTGCACGTGTCACAAAGGGCCCCTGCACACACTGCCCCCTGCCCTGGGGGCACCCCCAGGCCACCCAAAGTGGCTCAGGTTGGAAGGAATCCCTTCCCCCAAGCGTCCAAGACAGCCCAGCACGGTCTTTAGGAGCAGCTCAAACCATCAGCAAACGCTGCCCTGCTCTGCGGGCTCAGGGCAGCAGAAGGAGCCCCCAGGGCTGCCGACGCAGCCGCGCTGGGAAGGGCACGGGGCCTTCCACAGAAGCTGGCACGGCCTCCTCGGGACACGTCCCGGCTGGTGGCCATCCTAAACCCGCGGGTGTGACACAGACAAGGAACGTGTGGGCCAGGGCAGGAATGCTGCTCTGAGCCCTGGGCCTCAGGGAGCGCTGACATCAGCAGCTGTGGCAGAGTCCCTGCCCAAGCAGACCTGCCACCCCCCGAGCCCTGGCAGCGCTGGTGCCCGTCTCCTGCCCCAGAGACCTGTGCCCCTGGGGGACTTCTGTGCCAGAGGGAGCCAAACCCACCTGCACTGGGGGCTGTGCTCCTGCTTGGCAGGAACACCTGGAGCAACTGCTGGCAACACTTGGTCTCTGTCAGAAGCTCTTACTCCATGCTGAAATTATTTTCTCATTGAAGTTATTGCCTTCAGCACAAAAACACCTCAGCGACAAAGGCACAGAAAAATCTGGCAAGGAAGAATCCTCCATTCAGGAAAGCTTTACATCCCATTGCTCAACTCAAGTGGTTCCAAAACATTGCAAACTTCCCAAAGTAATTGGGATGGCCTGAGGAGGTGAAGATTTGGAATTTTGCTTCCCATCTCAAAGCAGCAACTCATTTGCCTTAACCTCATCCATTGAGGGTCACTTTACAGAACATAACACTACACAAAAAAAGGGCAAAACCAAGAGCCATTGTTTGGTTTGCAAATGGTTTTCTATGAAGGGATGATAATATCCTAGGTCTCTTAAGGAATAAAAGCTCTCAAGAAATGAAAGTCCACTCAGTGGTACAAAAGTAGCTCAAACAAATGAGTAGATGGCAAAAGGGCTAATCCTCCCCCTGCTACAGATATCTAATTGCCCAGTAAAGTACAGCTCTCCCCTCTTCTTCCCTGCAGGAGAATCAGGACCATGAAAAGGAAAAGTCACAAATATTCTTTCTGCCCTGCGTAACCAAAGCTGTGGCAAAGCACAGATGCTGCCTTCAAAGTGACTCAAATTCCAGCCTAGAGCTCTCACCTTCCAGAAAACTCCTTCCCCAACACCCCACTAACACCAACTCCCCCCAAACTCCTGCACAGAAGCCCTCAGCACCCTGTCAGGAACCCCGGCTGTCCCCATCCCTCTGCAGAGCTTTCCCACCCTCCAGCAGACGCCCTGGTTCCCTGCACAGTGCCGTGGCATGGCCTCAGGAGGATCTGCTCCAAGGGCTTCCCCTGGAGCAAGCTCAGGCTGCCAGGCCTATGGATCCTGGATCATCCTTCCCACCGAGCCTTCCTGTGCACGGCTGTTCCATCTGCACCTTTGGGCTCAGCTCAGACTTCTCCACTAAACCAGGAGTGCTGGTAAAGGATGAAGAGCAGCCTGGCAAGCTCTTTCTCCAGCTCCCTCTTTACTCTTGGGGAGGTAGAACATTCCACAGGAAAGCAACTGATGCCACAAGGAGGGGTGGCCTCAAGCACCTTTGGCAATGAAACAAAGCCTTTGTTTGACATAAGTAAGCACAAGCAAGTCACAAAAGTAAACAGGTAATTAGCACAGCCATACATGAGAACTCAGCACCATAAGAAAAAACATAAGAAAAACCTGGCAGGCCTAACTTGACCTGAGAGTGACTTGACACAAAGCTTTAGACATAGTCTACCAGAAGAACTAAGGGCAAGTGTGGAGTCAGCCCTGTGCAGGGAAGCCATGAGGAAGACTTTGTGCTGCTTTAGGGCATCGAGACCGCTCCTGGCCAGCGCTTGGACATCAGCTTCAAGTATAGGAATCTGAGCCAATGTATTTCCAACCCCCTGCCTACCGAATCGCCTCAGCAGCGTAAAGATGGACGGTATGTTTGGTACAATTCCTGCATCAACCCACTGAAATTTATACCTGGTGGAGGAATATTTTAGTGGGGTGCAGACCCCCGCCCTCCCGCCAGGTCAATAAAAGAGCTTTTGGTAGACAGTGCATTTGTCTGCCAATTTCTTTGAATGAGGGAGACCCCTCAGGACTGCTATATCCTGAGGGAACACCACTGGCCTTGACCTGTAGGCAGCTGCACAAGCTTAAAATCTGCTGCCTCAGCTTCCAGGACCTCTCTTGGCCAGCATCCTGACGTGGATGCAGAACTGTTGTGAGGCACTGCTGGGACCCAGCAGGACAGGACTGCCTGTGTCGTGTCCACATAGCACCCCTCACACAGCCAGGGTCATCCCGAAACCAGAGAAATGCTCAGGTGTCAGCAGAGGGGAGCAAGGAGCCCTGGGCTCCTCTCAGGGTATCTCAGCTGGGCTCGCTCCACAACACCCCCACCATTTTAAGGCCTGCTGATGCCCAGCTGCCAGAAATGCCTCCCTTGTTCTCTCCAAGATGCACAGGGAGAGCCAAGAAGCAGGACACCTTGGGAGGCAATCCTTCCAAGCCTTTTCTGAGGCCAGGCACACACCAAGATCAGCCAAGACTCTCCACCACGCTGCCTGGCCCACCCAGCCCAGCTCTGTGCTGGCCCTGGGCCACAGCAGCTTCCACCAAGCAAGGGCAAATGCATGTAGCCAAGAGTTGAAACACAGCAGGCAGGGAAGATGTGAAAAGTGTGTGCGTAAAGGCCTGTTAATTCACAGCTCTCAGAGAGAGCTTTGGGGCTCACAGCTGGACAGAGATGCTCCTGCTCACCCCTCTGTCCAAAGCAGGGGTAACACACCTTGCTGCAGGTGCTTGGGTCAGTCTCTGCAGGTCCAGGTGGATGCCAAACCTGCTCTTCACAGCCTTCTCCCTTGCCCTGCCCCTCTGCCAAGCAACACATGCCTGAAGGACTGAAAAGACCCCAGAGAGCCAAAGGGGAACACTTGCACTTGCTCCCTGGGAGCTCCCTGGGAAGCACTGTCCTTGAGAAGCAAGTCCCTTTCCTCCAAAGGCATTTCCCCAAATGTGTAGCTTTCCTGGGGAACACCAACACACTCTTAAGAATAGCTGGCAAGGTTGAATGACTTCAGGTCCTCTGAGGACAGGCACTCCAGCTGTAGCTCGTATTCCCCCAAGTGTGTTTCCAGGTGGAGGTTCCGAGGTGCATCCCCAGGCCCTCTACAAACACAAGCTGCTCAGTGCCTCTTCACCTGCCTCAACTCCAGCCTGTGGTCATGGCAGCAAAACCAGGCTGTTCCCAGCCAGAGCCCAGAGCCCTGTTCCCACAGGATGATCTTGCCACCACCTTCCAGGACTCTACGCTGTGCACACAGCGCTTTCCATGCCTGCTTCCAACAGGCTCTGGAAGGCAGAGCACAACCTGGCTGGCTCTGCCACCAGCACACCTCAAGCACAGGCAGAGGAAGAAGCAGCAGGGGTTTTTTTGCAGCCATACCCAGGAGAAACCGGAAGGGTGCCCTCCCTCTGGTCTCACTTGGTTGCCTTTCTGACTGCCTCTGAGGCTGGGGCTGCCATTCCTCACTTGTGGGCACCAGAACCACACCTGGGATCCCGGCACTGCCTGACAGCGCTCCAGGCTCTGGCACAGTCTGAGTCTAGGGCACCGTGCTGCTGCTTCATTTGCTCTTAGGCACAGCCAAAGCTCTCTGTTAAGCCCAGATAGTCTCTGGTTCTGCTCTCTCCAGGGATTGCAGCTCCCTGCCCAGGCATTGCAGCTCGCCTGGCCAGCCCCTGCTGACTGCCCACTGCCCTCATTCACACTCAAGGAGGTCTGAGATGAAATCAGAGCACCAAGACAAGGATAAGAAAGGAGGGCCCTCGCCACCCACAGGGGAGCCAATGTTTGAGATCATCCCCAAGTCCCTGATGTACGAAAGTCTCTGCAATCTGCACAAAGACATTGTTCGACAGGGACGTGAGGCTTATACAACCTGGTTACACCGGGTCTGGGACCTTATGGGTACAGGCATGCAACTGGATGGTGGTGAGGCAAGGAATTTGGGACCCTTGACCCAGGACTCAGGTATTTATCAGAATTTTGTAAGGGAGCCAGGCTCCCTTTTCCTCTGGGAGTGGCTTTTAATGAGTGTCAGAGAGAGGTTTGTCCACAAGGAGAGAATGCAGGAGCACCACCACAGAATGAGCTGGAAGACCCTTGAGGAAGGGATCCAACAGCTGAGAAAAGTGGCAGTATTGGAGGTACTCTTTGGGAGGGATGGACAGCATGATAATGACCCTGGCAAGGTCAGGTGCACAGGGCAAATGCCGTGGAATCTGGCAAATCTAGGGCCATGTCAATACACCACCTTCATTGCAACGATTAATGCTGATACCAGCCGAGAGACAGTGGGTTCTGCTGCAAACACGTTTAGAAATTGTGAGAGGATGATCAATGGCGAGATGCAGGCTCATGTCTCTGCTGTGATCAAGGAACTCAAAGAGGAGTTTAAAGAGAAGATGAGAAAGATGAAGGAGGAGGTGAGGAAGATCAATGCAGCACCAGTGCAAGTCACAGGCCCAATAGTCAGAGCCCAATACGCCCAGCTAGAGGGAGAGGATACACCCCACAAACTTACTTGTGGGGGGTTTTTTGCATGGGGAAGACATGGGAAGGAGAGATGGGAAACCCACTTCTGTCCTGGCAGTGAGGGTGCATCCACTCAAGGAGGGAAACACTAACCGAGGGAATTCCAGTAAAGTGAAGGTAGCCTCAGCCTCCCCTGACCGAGCAGCCGGGTATGATCTGTCAGATCCCCTTGAAGGTACCACTAGTACGTATGCCTAGGAAAGAAATAATAACCAGGGTTAGAGGGGCCCTGCCTCTAGCCAGAGAGAGTCACCGGAAAATCAGGTCTTCTGGATGGTGTGGATCCAATGGCCACAGGCATATGATGCCTTAATTGATACTGGTGCGCAGTGTACCCTGCTACCATCAGGACATGTGGGGGCAGAACCTGTTTCCATTGCCGGG